CGATTAATTTTATGTCTCGTCATTTTTTACACACATTTTTTTTACTTATTGTATAAATCGCAATATCTTATAGTTATAAAAGCCTATTATTTTATGCGCCCTATTATATAATGCGCCCCGTCTTCGCACGGGTGGTTTCTGGATCTCGACATCAGCGCCACTCATCGGGTCCAACTGTCTAAACCATCCAAACACACACAAAAATTTCATAAAAATCAGTCTAGTCATTTTCGAGTTACGAGTATAGCGAGACCAACGGACAGCAATTGATTAGTTTTGTTTTAATGAATATCCACTGTGGCTAATACCACTGTGGCTAATAATTTTTCTATCGAAATAACATCGCAAGACATTTATTGGATGACGCAAATCCGCCCCCAGTGCGGTAACAATGCGCACTTAATTATCTTCATCCCCTTGAGAGGTGCGCCGTAACCACGCATCTGTTAGGTTGCTCGCGGGGGCGGTAAGTTTGTAAATAGAAAATTTAAGATTGCGAACCGTTTTATTTCATTTACGACACCTATATAGCAGGTTACAAAATATGTTAAATGAGATTATATTTGCTTATATATAATTGTGAGCATAATTATTACTAACTCTGCGGTCAAAATTTACCAAAAGACATCACGGAATTGTTGGCATTATTTTCGACGTGGTAGAGCCACGCTACGCTGCAGCTATATTAATTGTTGTATAGTTGTAGCACGAATGGGTCGGCTCGACCGGGGAAGGACCAAACTCTCACAGTATAGCAGCTTAAGGCTGTTGTGTTTCGTATGGTGAGTGTAGAGAACCGGAGACACTTTTTTATTGGAAAAGACAAATTATTTCTCATCCACTTATGAAATTAACAGTTCAACATTAACTGAAGTAGAAGAATTAAGAGATTTAGTTGTAACAGTGGACAAGCACCTTAAATTCACTACACATATTAATAATATTGTAAATAAATCCTCGAAAATGCTAGGTTTTCTTAGGCGAAGTACTGCGGGTTTCCGTTTAAATTGCACCCCTAAAATATTATACAATGCTTTAGTCCGAAGTAACTTAGAGTACGCTAGCGTGGCATGGAACCCTGTATATGCTGTTAACTCAACGCTTGGAGGGGGTATTCAGCGTGCGTTCACTAGGCATCTTGCATTTATTTCGCAGGGCATGTCACACCGGTCACCATATGAGCATCGTCTTGTGTTTTTTTAAATGAACTCGTTGCGTAGCCGTCGAAGAGACCATGATTTGGTGTTTTTGCAACGGTAAAATAAAATGTAGTGAACTCCTGGAACGTGTTAAATTGACAGTGCCAGCTCGCATAGCCCGACATCCTATCAAAAAATCTTTTGCCTTGCCTTCTGTAAGGACTAACCTTGGACGCCATTCTCCTCTTGCCAGATGTTGTGCACAGTACAACAAGATGAATATAGAAACATTAGACATTTTCCACGATTCATTGTTTAAATTTAAGCGAAAACTGGCCGGCCTTTTGTGAACAGGCATTTTTAGTTTTGCTTTGGTGAATTTTATTGATTTCAATTTTTTAGATTAATATTGTGATGTTATTTTATATCTCCTGTCAATGTTGTGTACGTCTATAATAGGTATATGTATAAAGAATTGTGCTTTAAAAATTTAACTTTTATAATATGTATACATGTACTGTTGGTGTACCTTTTTAAATAAAAAAAAAAGAGACGTTCCATCTTAGTTCTCACGGCTGACAACGCATCTGCATTTTGATTCGCAAACGTGGATAGATGTAGATGTCTATGGGCCACAGCAACCACTTAACATCAGGTGGACCCTGTCACCCTTATCCTATATAAAAAGTCTCTTGAAGAAAACCATCCTAGTATATGAGTACTGGTTAGCAAATTAGTTACAGTGTCGTTAGATAACAATTATTGTACATCGTTGTTCTTAACTACATTGTCTAATCCGTTCCCGGCATAACTGCGGGTCTATTCGAAATCTAGACCAGCATTGACGTCAGATAATCTAAACTTAGGTACTGCCGTCCCATCAGGAAGAGTTGGTGACGTAAACGCTGACATTTTGCGTTGACGTTCTCTGTTACATGCCGTTTTAACTGTGGCGCTTCGTGTTGCCATTAAAACCTTTTTTTTAATATATATATTGTCTACACCTTTTGTATTTATGCTAGTAATCTAATGATATACCCCGAATGTACTTATTTGTTGCCATAGCTGTTCCCACACACTTAATTCAAGTATGAGAACATAGTGAGGCACTGCGAATTTACCACCTTTGCCTACAAAAAAAAATAGATCTCTATCCACAAAAAATTAGACTTCCGAAATCCTCCCCCAAAATCGTTAAGCTTGATAGGAAAAGGTAATCCATCGATTTGCATCCGGCGGATGTAAGGTCCCCTTTAAAATCAAAATGGCGCCCACCCTCCATTTTTTAACAGTTCAACACCTGGCTTTTAAACTACGTCCCTACGTATTCAGCTATTGAGGACTTATTCGTAATAATGTCCCAGGAATAGAAACTAATAACTTGAAGGTAAAAGCAATTAACTTATTTTGTAACTTCAAATAAAAAGAAGAAAAACACTACGTTCTCCTTCTCAATGGGATGTATAACTATAAACATTCAATTACCCTATATTTTGTAACGTTATTTAAGTATATACTTTGTTTAATAGTAAATAAAAATATAGTTAAAGTTACAAGCCTATATACATCTCACTGCTGGACACAGGCCTCCTCTCACTTCTGAGAGGGGTTTTAGGGGAAGGAAATGTCCGCCGCTCTGCTCTGTTATATTTTATAAATATTTTTTTCTCATTTCTCAAACATGCAGGTATCCCCACGATGTTTACCTTTACCGCCGAGCACGTGTCGAATCAGCACTTGAAGTTGCAATTAACAATTTCATCGATGAACCCGGGTTGCTCGCGTACTGTGAAATTCACAGCGAGCGCTTAGTCCCTAAGCTACCATGGCTAAAATATTAAATATATCAGTGTTCAATATTAAGTATATTAAATATAGTTTTCGCCATAACTGTCAAATAACGCGCCAAATTACAGGAGACGATGTCTCATCTCACTTTATTTGGCGCTAAAAATAAAATGCAACATGTATAGGTATTACTTCCCGGTTAAATCACACTGTACTATGTAATCGGAAACGTGGCGGAACTAGCACGTGCGTGCACAATGGGGTGTTCCTCTTGATTAATAGAGGGTAAAATTCTAATGCGGGTGAATGCTGTAATGTATGAAGCTCTTCCATGGTTCTAAGCACATGTTTTTCTTTTTTCTACTTGCGATATTATTATACCACCATTAACAATATAATAGTCTAATAAATAAAATAGTATTTTGATAGAAAGTAAATTTCAGAAGTAATGTTGTAAAGAGTAGAACCATTTTTTTTATTTAAATTTTATATGTACACACAAGTAGTAGATTTTCGTTTACGTGGTAGAGCCGTGCTACAGCTATATTGTGCTTGCAGCACGAATGGGTCGGTTCGACCGGGGAAGGACCACGCTCACACAGAATACCGACGTGAAATAGCAGCTTCATGCTGCCGTGTTTCGTATGGTGAGTGAAGAGAACCGGAGACCCTTTTTACTGGAAACGAAGCATTCCATCTCAGTCCTCATGGGTGACAATGCATCTGCATTTTAATTCTTAATAGAGGATAAATGTAGACGTCTATGGGCCACAGCATCCACTTACCATCAGGTGGACTGTGTGCTCGTTTTTCACCCTTATTCTATTAAAAAAAAAATAGGTCCAGTTACAGATTATTCTAAAACATTTTCAGAGATTACATAACATTTTATAATTCAAAAGGTATTTAGGCGAAAAAAATTATCATAAAAGATTATAAAAAAAAATTAATACGTAAGGACCATAATCTGTGACTTCCATGAACTCTGAAAAACGGACTACAGTCAACAGCCTCATTGATTCTATAAGAATTTCTTTTCTTTTAGCATATTTGAAGACAATTTTTAAAAAGTTCATTTTAAGTAGCATTCCGTAGACGATCAAAGGCATATTTTTAATTGACATTACGGCGCTGGCGCAAGCTGCGCTGCACGCGCATCTGCCGCGCAGGTGGCCGCCATCTTTAAGGGTGGCCATCTTGACGCTCACGAATAACCGAGGGGAGACTACAATAGAAATGTTGTTCGTCTAAGGGGATTATATTTTCGCGAAAATACAATTTTTTTATTTGTATTCTTGTAGGTACTCTTTTCGCTATGCAATATTTTAGTATTTTTTTTAGTAAGATCCGAACATACTTTCATTACTTTTCATAAAAACCATGAAGACTTCGTAAAGAAAAATGACGATGCTTTTAAATATTGGCAAATGTCCTCTTAACTACATGACGTGAAGAACTGGGCCCTATCTAATAAACTTCACAATCCGACGACAACTTTGTATCTAATTTTAATTTTCTACCGACTTCATAAATGAGACGGTACTCAATTCGACTGCATGTTTTTTTATTATTCTTAATAATTTATATTGAAGTCAGTTGTGCGTAATTGCAAATTGTAAATTGTATTTCTTAAATTTATTAGATAGGACCCTGATAAAAAATGCAGCACCGTGCTTTGCAATTGGCAATCTATGGGTGGTAAAGCCAAAGTTCAACTCTTACCCAATTGAATTCTGATTAAACAGTTTGCGTATTTACAGTTTAATAGCACTATTAATGCGCAAAGTATCAGAAATTGTAATATAATTACTTGTCTTTGTAGATTTAATATGGCTGTTGCACCGATGATGGCTCCGATCGACCGGGGAAGGAAGATTACATTCTCACAGGATCGTTATCCAAAGCAGCCTATTAAAAGTTGACAGCTGAACATAGGCCCCATAGATTGCCTCATGGGGGGTGGGGGGTGGGATATTTGCCATAGTCATAAATTTATTATAGTTCTTATACGCCACCACTACACGGTGACTTGTATGTGTGAACGTAACTAATGTCACTGTCTCTTTGTTCCAGCACCCCGAACCTCATGCACTGGTGGCGCGCCCAACAATCTACCGCCCCTCAGCTTCCACGCGGTACACGGAGAGAACGTAAGGATCTCACGAGATGGCACCACAGCGCGCCGCGTTGAATCGTTCTGCAAGGGAGTCGCGTTCAGCGCTAGGCCAGTTAGGGTTAATGAAAAAGTAAGTGCATATTTGGCATAATTTAGATTACATACATTCTCTGAACGTTAGTAGCGGTGTTAGAATATCCACTACTCCATAATATCGTCCCGTGGGGGTTGACAAAGGGAAACTAACCAAGAAATGGGCAGCAGCGTCTTCCTATTAACTAGAAAAAAACTGTGGTTTTTAATCCCCTGGAAAGCGTGGGAATTATATGACAAGTCCAAGAAAGACCTATATTCTTCAGTGGACTTTTATAAGGCTTTAATAAATGTATCATGAAAAAACAATAATTTCAAATTAAAAATTTTGTGCAATCGACTTCAATATAAACTATTAAGAATAACTTAAAAACTATTGGTCAGACCTTGCTCAAATTTATATGGAACAACATGTGAAACACCACCTTTCAAATAAAAAAAAGAATTATCGAAATCGGTTCAACCAGTAAAAAGTTGTGAGCTAACAAACATAAAATATTAAATAAAAACATACAGTCGAATTGAGGACCGTCTCCTTTTTGAAGTCGGTAGAAAATACCTTTTAACGTATGTAAATTCTACATTTTACTAAAAAAAAAGAAGAGAGCAATGAGCTTACTATCCACCTGATTGTTAGAGTACTGCAGCGTACAGACATACAAAGTTAAATAAAGAATGTTACAGACGTGACGTCACCTCGAAGGACTGAACGGAAACGTGTACAGACTTTCTATACCCTGCAGACTGGAACACAGAATATACACGATAGTCCTAACCTAGTGAACTTCTTCTCCTTTATCATTCTTAATCATTCTCCTTTTCAACCGACTTCAAAAAAGGAGGAGGTTCTCAATTCGTAGGAAGCTTTTTTTATGTATGTTCACCGATTACTCGAAAACGCCTGAACCGATTTGGTAAATTCTTTTTTGTTTCAAATGGTATACTTCCCGAGACTGTGGGAATAAATAAAATTTTATCGTAAATGGTCGAGCGGTTTTAAAAAAATTAACAATATATTATTTATATGTTGTTTTGCAGTTGGTTGTGCAAAAATTTTAATTTTACCACTTGTTCGCCTGCTGGTCACAGACTTCCTCTAATTTCTGAGAGGGTTTTATGTTTAAATATTTTCATTCGTCAGACGTGCAGAGTCCTCACGCAATTTCGCCGAGAACGTGGTTAATCAGCACTTAAGATTGCAATTAACTATTTCGTTGGTGCCTGTAGTGTGAAATTAACGGCGAGTGCTTAGCCCTAAACTAAATTGTAAATGTCTAAAAGGAACAGAAAATCTATAGAACTTAATACCCTGTTTCACTAAATGACAAGGTTGTCCAAGTGTAATATTACAGAGAGTTTAAATAGTAAAAGTTAAAATTGTTTTTTCTTTTAATTGCAGGTGTGCGTACGTTTCGTCGAAATCTCCAACAGCTGGAGTGGAGTCATTCGTTTCGGATTCACCACCCACGACCCCACGACATTAGCTCACGCGTTACCCAAATACGCTTGTCCAGATCTCACCAACAAACCCGGCAACTGGGCCAAGGCGTTGGGGGAACGATTCTGCGAGAAGGATAATATACTATATTACTACGTTAATTCAGCGGGAGACGTTCATTTCGGAATAAACGGGGAAGATAAGGGACTTTTCTTCTCTGGAGTGGACACAAGGAGTCCTCTGTGGGCTTTAATAGACGTATATGGTAACTGTACGGCTGTCCAATTCGCAGATCCAAGAGCACCGAATCAAATGAGGAGGTCCACGCAAAGCCCATTAGTGGAAGATGACAGACTCATAGGTGGGATGCGATCTCTAAGCGTAGAAGAAGCGTTGCCTCCACCCAGATACCAAAACCCATTAGCGCCACTCAGCTTACACCGGACTAAAGGAAGGAACGTCCACTTCGTGAACGATAGGGGTGTAGCGGCCAGAATAGAAGCGGAATTCTGTCAGGGATACGTGTTCACAGCGCGCCCGATGCGTCCCGGACAGACGATCGTGGTCCAGATCTTAGCGACCGAGTCCGCATATGCTGGGAGTTTAGCCATAGGTCTGACGTCATGCGATCCAGCTACCCTAAGACCCTGCGACTTGCCGGACGATGCTGAACAGTTACTAGACCGTCCTGAATACTGGGTTGTTAGAAGAGATGCTGCCAACGGCCTGCGAAGAGGAGATGAGTTGGCAGTAACACTAACTGTTGACGGTGAAGTGCGCGTGAGCAGGAATGGGTCCAATCCTGTTACTGTTATGCACGTAGACCACACACTGAGGCTTTGGGCCTTCGTGGATATATATGGGGCGACTCAGAAAGTCAGAATGCTAAGCTCCCAGATCCTCCCAGCTCAAACTCCCCCTCAACAATTGCGGGTGTTGGCGGGATCGGCATCTCCAATTGCGACAGGCGCAGGCGGTACTGTGCTCGTCGTCAGTCTTCCCCCACAAACAAATGGACAGAATTTGTCGAACCATCAACAGGGATTGACTTTAGCCAGCGCACATTATATTGAGGTAATTAAAATCTTTATTATTTACCGACTTTTACATTTCATTCTAACGAAGAGTGGCAACACTAGACCGTTATTGGGTAGTTTAGTACTTTTGAACCAATTTCTTACCGTTTCTATAACCCATCAAAAGTTTACTGCTCAACATAGGTCTCCCCCACAGATTACCTTGCCTCATATGCCATAGTGGTCACGCTTTGCAGGCAAGTTGGCAACTGCAGTTTTTTATTATTTTGAATTATCAGGAAAACGCTGCTGTTCATTTCTCTCTGCCGCCACTTCTCCACGAGATAATAAATTCTCTTACATAGCCTCTATACAACGGCTATACTGTTCATATTCTCTTGCAATACTCATAAAAATCATTATATTATAGGTTAAATTTGTAATTAAATTGTCAACTTAATTTTATCTTTCTTTGTTACAGCCGATTCAAGCATCATCACAGCTATGCCTGGCCGGATTCCAGCCGATGCCACCACAAACCGCCTCATGTAGTTCTCAACCGCAGTCCTACCAGCAGCAGAGGCCTAGGCAAGACATCCAATGCTCTTCCACAAGCCAGAACAACTCCAACGAGCAAGTTCAAATCCCCAATGGGCACGGGGAACCTATAAGACTCGAAAGGATACCCAATGGGCCATCAACCAGCCGCCAAATGCCTTCTTCGTCTCATCACCAGCCAATCTATTCGGTTATCGGGGAAGGAAATCTCACTGGAGAATGCACAATTTGCTATGAAAACCCGGTAGACAGTGTATTGTATATGTGTGGACACATGTGCATGTGCTACAGATGCGCCGTGCAACAGTGGAGGGGTAAGGGTGGGGGTCAGTGCCCGCTGTGCAGGGCCCAAATAAAGGACGTTATCCGCACGTACAAATCCTGATGTGTTTGTCTAATAATAATTGTACATTATTTTTTGACTGTCTGTACGATGGCAGAATTTTACGCTCGCTTTTTGTTCCGTTCACGCGGGCTGTCATATACAATTTTAAAGTTGGCGTTCGCGCCAATTTTTGACAGAAATGTTATGTCGTTTTAGAGTAGAAGAGTTCGGCGAAAGAGCGCGTAAAATACGTCATTGTCACTCTTGTCCAATGAAACAAATTTATGCCAAAAAGAAAAACATTCGGATACATGAGACACGTTGATTTTGCCTTTAATATATTCCTTATTTTCGTAGTTGCTTTTCCAAAAAGTATGTAAATAAATGTAGTGTAACACATTAAATATTTATATGTAAGAATATTAACTACTGAAATTAATATTTTCACATATAGTAATGTAATGTATGTAATAAAGCGGCATTAAGACCTGTCTTGTATGATTTAGTTTACAGTATTAAGGTTCAAAAAAGTATATGGATTTGAATGTGACATTATTATTTCGTTATATATAACATTTTTTCGAACATAATAATATATTGACATATGTATGTAGTAAATAAGATATAAGATAAATCTATATAATTGTTTAGGTTGCCAGTAGCATAGGGGCATTTTATAAGTAGTGGTCCAGTTTTCATATTTTTATCGTACTAAAATTGTCCTGTTAGGATAGCTTTTAAATTACCAAATGAATAATATGCAGTTAAATTCTTTTAATATTAACAACAAAACATGATATATTGCTTTTCAAAATCCAAACATAGTTTCTTTGTCAATTTAAATGATACCTCACAGAATCATTAGTGTCTTAAATTAAAAAAGAAATAAACATGTGTATATATTGACAGAACCCAAAAATACGATAAAATTTTAACCTTATGATATATCTTATCTAAAATGTCTATAACTTTTATATATTTGGGATTGACTTGGCTTTAATATTTCAACTTCAAACAATTTCATACTGTCCAGTTCAAACTGTGTGAAGTCAAAACCTATGTTGCCAGTTACCTCTTCGATAGAGTTGAATAACCCTTGACATATTATATTATTTAAACTGAGGCATAATAATTAGGGCTATATTAATTTCTTATCTTCATAACCATTATATTGTCATTATTGGATATTTAAATTCTGTGTATAGGTTTAAAGATAGAAGAGACTGTAGCGTTTTGTATATTAGTGTATAAAAGCGACATTAGATGACTGTCACATAGGTACTTAAATGGTGACAATACTGACGCATGAATCTGTAAATAAAAAATAAATCAAATGCTTTTTTTTTCAAAACAAAATATTTGAAAAAGGAATGTGACACTCAATCTATTGTTTCAACATTTAACTTATCACCACATATTATGCGCTATTGTTGTAGTTTTGCTAGGAATAAACTAAGTAATGGGGGTTCCTAATCGAAATTATTATTTCTGGGAGTCATTTAGGCTGCAAACCACGTCCATATATTGAAGTCTATCGGTGATACAAGAATTTGCATTTAATAATTTATAATATCATATCATTAAGTTTTTTCTACTTTAAATGTTACTGTCAGTGGTAGTTCCTAAAAATGTTCTCGATTAATCTTCCAGATTGTTGGTGTATCATTGAAAGATATGTATAGTGTTATGATTGCATAGCTGTATAATGATATAACCCTTAAAATTGTCTATGATCCTCACCAGGTATCACTTGGAATTGTTATTGGAATTAAACATTATTGGAGCTGTAGAAAGTTAAATAAAAATGTTAATTAAAATGTAGATGGGCATAGTCTTATTAGAAGGGTTAAGTAGCCATGGATAGAAGATCGGAAATTTAGCTGAAATCGGCTCGGTAGACATTAACGCTACCGCGCTGTGTTGCCATAGCTAAATTTGATCGATCAAGTGTGGGAATTTTAATCGATAACATTTTAAAATGACAATAGAAATTTAATAGCATTGAAATATTTCAAAGTGTGTTGTTTATTGTGAAACCATTAATTATTGCTCAAAATTTATCTGTTAGAAATTTAGCATATCATTTTATAACCCTCCTGAACATATCTACATTTTTTTTATAATCATTCCTTATAAGTTTTAGATGTTTTTTACCACCAAGATTTGAACCAAACATTTGCAGCCAGTTTTTGTCTATATAACTTTAATTATTAATTTATTATAAGTATACTTAGGAGATTCAGATATCGGAGCGATTTACATAGATTTAGATTATCTCTATGTATGTAAACGAAACGACGGCGTATTTATTTTTAAATTTAAGGTCAGATTAAAACCACTTTTTATACCAAAACCGTTTAACCAGTCTATTGAATTTTAACGCTACTAAATATTACCAGAGTTTTAATATTGTAACCGAATCTCTGTTTTAGTTGAGGCATTGTAAATATTTTAATGATGTTTTTTTTTTAAATGTTAATGTATGTATTGAAAACATATTCTTAACATATTCTCATAAGTACCTTTCCTCTTGTGCTTTAACTGCTCATAAAAGTTCAGCGCTGGACTTGGTGCTGTCCCATTGCAGGCAATATTTGCCTTAATTGCCACGCTTGGTAGACTGATTGCCATTCGTCCAGACGTCTTGCATCTTTGCCTTTGATGCTGCAACCTATCCCTCATAATGCCGTCATCAAAAGGTGACTTTGTGGTAGTTCCTAAAGTCGCCTCTTACGAAATAAATAGAGTGATGGATTCATCATACGGCAAACTTACTCCATTTTTAATGGTTTATTATAGAATCGGAATATGTAATGTTTCATTGTAATTCTTTATTTATTTAACATTTACCTAGATTCGCCTAGTAATCATGCCACCAATAAATGAATATGAGAAACTATTAAAACTTGAGAAGGTTAAAAACCTTGGGGTTGTCATATTAACCAATTGAACACAATTTTTTTTGTTTTATAAGTCAAAAGATAGCTGATGCGCTCGAATAAAGGCGTAAGACAAAACCAATCCGTTTAAATAAATAAGAAATCATAGTCAATCAAGTACACGTGTTGATTCTATAATCTATAAGATGGAGTTTCACCAAAGGACAACAAGTGCAAAAAAATAAATTGTTTATTAAAATTTCTATGTAAAATTTATTTGCTATAATATGAGTTTACTCAAGCTATATTTCTCTAACATTCTATACTTCTACAGCTTTTGTAAGATTTCAAATATACTACATTAACATTTATTATATATACGTAATCCGAAATAATTATGATTGTGATAATATAACTTTCTTTTGTTTTTGACATTTTTTAAGTTGATTTTTGTGTTTGGTTCGTGCTGATCGTCACATCTAGTCGTTAGTAATTTATTATTATTTTCTCACTAAGGAAAGTTCACTCTTTGGATACGATGTTGGAGATTAGATTAAGTTTTCAATTAAAATGGTTATCAAACAAATGTACTGTTTTTTTATTTTATTGTTATAATATGACTTATTTATACACTATATGTTTTATTTTATAGAATAAAGGTATACGAGCATACAGTCCACCTGATGGTAAGTAAATGCTGTGGCTCTCGGATATCTCTGCCTGATTAAGAATCAAATGATATAAGATATGTGTTATTCCTAGAGTTTTCTGGTCTGATCTGACAGAAATAAATCTGTTATCGGTGTCTCCATTGTTGTAATAAAGACTAAGAAGGCTATAAAAATGGACATGAACGCCCTAACAGAAGTTTATCGACCAAATTAGTGACATAATGAAGATAGGCCAAATTAAGAGTATCCTTAACCAATGAGCACGTATATAAATAGATATGAAAGAACCGAGACAAATGTCAGAATCGTACCAAATGGAAGTCATAGATATAAGAAAAATTTCTTATATCAATGATGGAAGTCCATAGAGTCTACCTAGCATTCTGGGTGACAGGCGTGGGATGTTATGCTGCTGCTATAAGTGCAAATGACTTTAGTTTGTAATAGCTGGTTGGCTGTCAGGGCCGTGCTTTGTGTCAAACTGATATGATGTATGATATCTTAGAGCCCTTAAAGAGTATACTCAATAATCAGTACTGTTTAGGCTCACCACTATTATTCGTTGCTATTAAAGTTCTACAGGAAGTTATTTTTTTTTATTAATAGCTAATTGTGTCACTACCTTCAGATTTCTGAACAACATTCTGTCTTTGTTACCACGATAGACATTTTTTTTTCTAAAATAGTGCTATAAAAAGAATCGCAATAAACAAATTATTAAGACCTGGTGTTTTTCATATGTCCATCTGAGACAACTATAATTGTGCTTGTAAAATATCTTTGAACCATAAAAAGCATTTTTAATGTTATGTTCTTGTAAAACATAAATTCTGTATCATTTTAGAATATAGTAAACATTTCAAATTTTGCCACCCTATATTGGTTGAATTGGGGGGCTTTTAGGTCTAGCAAGTCCACGGATTTACGTATTTCGGATGTCTGTGGTTAAATCTAAATTTGCTGCTGGACTAATGAAATAAAACTTTATTTTTCAACGAAATAAATTTAATGTCGTTTTTTGAATGCAGACTTCTATTAGACGGGCACTACTGTATCAAATGCGCAATACGTCTTTTCGTCAACAAAATAAATTACCGTCAATTATCTATAAGGCGGAGTTTACACGCTCATTCTGGCGTCAGTTCAATCCATGTCAGATCATATCAGAATGACGGGAAACTGACTGTATACGCGTAGACTGATAGATTGATGGTCCAGAATGATGGTTAATTTAAATATTTTAATATTTTTTGTCAGTCTGGTCAGACTGATTCCAGACTGAACGTGTGTATAGCAATCAGTCTAATGTCAGTTACAGTCACCGCTTAGACAGCAATGGAGTCGAACGCCGTTCACCGCGTGCACCGACTCCCCCGCCAACCCTGTCGTCCCCTTCTCAACCATTAGCCCAGGAAAAAGAATTTATTTCAGCTGTTTTTTTAAATGTTACCCCCACACTAGGGTTTTCTCCTGTACCGTGGAGGCAGTTTACAAACATAAATTGCACAAAAACAAACATCCAGACCCGGAACAATTATTTGTAGGCCATACAAATACTTGTTCCGTACGGGATTCGAACCCGCGGGCCCCAGTAAGAGAAACGAGCCGCTGCAGAAACTATTAGTAATTTTGAAAAAAAATAAAACCTCAAGCTAATGTAGAGGACGTGAAAAAGAAAATGAATATCCTAAGATCCAACTATAACCGTGAATTTTTTATTTTTTTGTTGTTGTGATCCACACCTAAGGGGTATGCGTGTTATCACGTAGAAGTTTTCGGTTGAACTATTATACCTCCCGTCCATCCATCCTTGAGCCATCAGTCTATACGTGATCAAGGTCACAGATTGAACTGACGTCAAACTTAACGTGTAACCTCCGTAGAACTTCGTAACTTTTAGGAAGTCGACTAACGACTGCGAGCGTGCAAAAAGACTAGTTCTTGGTTTTGTAAACCGCGAACGTTGTTTTAGACCGAAAATCTAACACTGCTTTAAGAAAACGCTGTCATTATTTATGTGCCCACTATATCAACGTGATTTGAAGTTTATTTCAGATAATTATGTAACTTTGTTTCGTATTTATCTAAGAATAGCAACTGTAGTAAATGAAAATACAACTGCGTGGTATATTTACCGTGCCAGTTACCCGCCCAGACGGCGTCCGCGCCCACACCCGCGTGATTCGTAGCTGTAATTGTAATGGTCCCTCTATACTACTCGCGAAGTTGATCGAAGTTGGGTGAGGAGAAACTTAACATGTTTTATATTTTATTAGCTGGCCTGGCAGACGTTGTTCTGCCCTTTTCGACGACCCTTCATATAAAAATCCTTAAATTCGCAATAAAAATTTTTGGGTCATTTATCGGGATAAAAACTATCCTATCTCTCAAGTTGGACCAAAATGCACACAGTGTGCAAAATTTCATTGAAATCAGTTCAGTAGTTTAGGAGTCCATGGCGGACATACAATGTGACACGTAATTTTTATATATAAAGATAATCTGAATACTACGAGTACGTAAACCGTTTCAATATAAGGTTCATCTCTCCGGAGAAGACACGATGAAATAAAATCCGCAGGTATAATGAACGATGTATTGCAGTAAGTATATTAAATGACAACAGTATTATAATTTTTGCCATGACATTATAATAAAAACAGCAAGTAATTGATACGTGTTTTCATTGTGCTTTGATAAGTTCTTGAACAAATAACCATAGTTTAAAACAGTTTAGTGCAGTGAGGGCTTAGACTTAGCAAGTGAAGGGGAGTATGACCCACGCTAATAATATATAAACTATAAAATACCCTGACTAAGATCATTAGCTAGCGTGTGATTATAAAAGAGAATGTAATTCTATATTATAATCAATACGTACTACGTTTCCTGATTATTGACCAATGATTATAGAATCGCAAATCGCGACAAATTCGCGATACCAACCATACTATCTTCAATCTAGTTGATGGCGGTCTACCACTGTGCGATTTTACAGAAGTTTTATTTCTTGTATGATTTCTTTGTGGAATTGTTTACCACCGGCGATTTTCTGAACTGGATTCTTTTTAAAAGGCCTGCAATTCCCTGGTGTTACAGTTGCTTACAAGTGGCGGTAGTCACTTATCATCAGGTGAATATCATGCTCGTTTGTCCACTCTTCTTAACTTAATAGATTAAAAGTGTTGTTAACTGGGGCATTTTATAGATACATTTTGTAATGGATTTGTATAAATATATAATTGAATGGTTAAGTCAGTATTTTAAAAAAATGCGATGATTTGTATTGATTTGGTTTATTTATTGATGTAGTAAGAACTTTAAAAGTATCTTATATCTTGCATTGATTCTAGTTTTGATGATAGAGCAAGTTTAATGTTGGGGCTGTTGTCGAAGTCTATGGCTGTTGTACTTTTTTAATCTGGATTACGAAATGTCAAAGAGCGGTAAGCTAAGCGCTTGAGGCGCTGTATTTTTAATATAATTGAAATTAATTTACGCTCCAGTACGACGTAGTAATAGAGCTTAAAATCGTAACACCCTAAGAAATATGTGTAGTTTTTTAACCGGCGGTAAGCGGAACGCGGCTGTAGCGTAGCGTCAGTCAGATTGAATTGAATAGGTCTTGTATTCTGTTATTAATAAAAGCGAGTATAACCTTTTATTCTTACGTTTCGCTTTTATTTTTCCCGACAAACTTTACAATTCGAGTTAATATACATTGTGTTGTGTGTTTTTGTATTCTAATTCGTGGTTTGTGTCAATTTATGCGTTAAAAGGTAGCTTGTTAATTCATAACATTGAAGTTTAAAGTTAACTTAATTAGAGTAAATGATGTACTTGTGTGTAACTTTTTACTGGCATGTGCAGTTATTTCATGAGACGGCCCTAATTGTTTCGTTACATTTATAAATTAATACGCCATTTTGTCAGCAGCACCGTGCTTTTGTATAGTTTTTGTTTATTTGTGATTGTTTGTTTCGTTGTACGGTATAAGTTCTAAAATTAAAGTAAGCAATCGTAAGTAATATTATTGTTGCAATCTATAAAGAATGCTTTATATTCGACGTGTCCGATATTCAGGAAATAATATGAATTACGTGACTCATTCATATAAAATTTACTTGAGTTATCATTATTCCTAATGTCATTAATTTTTTTTTACATAATCAATATTTTATGCATGTAATCTGTTGTATGGCACTGATAGTGACGCGATTCGGTAGCACGAAACAGCGTCAAGTTTGTATAAATTTAAGTCATGTTGGTGTTAAAGTTTATATTTTTGTAACAAATTTTGTAGTAATAAGCTGCTATTTTATGCTGGTATACTGTGATAGTGTGTTTCTTTCCTTGTCAAGCGAACCCGTTGATGCTGCAATTATAATATAGCTGCAGTGTGGTTTCACCACATTAATTTCTATGTTTTCCATGAAAGTTAACAACAGATTTTGCAATTGTAATACAATGTTCAGCTATATTAAATTTAATTAACAGTCCAGCCATTAATTCATTTATTACAGCTTATCATAAGTCTCCTGCTGAACATAGGTCTCTGACAAGGAACACCACAAACCTCTGAGCCATCTGCATCCATCATCTTTCTGCATGTCTAGCCAGATCATCTTACTAGCTAGTAGAGGGTCACCCCACACTTTGAAAAACAATAAGAAAGAAATTCTCAAGCAACTGCCTTGTACCAGTAAACAGTTCTTCAAGATATATGGTCCAATGCCACTTAGCTTACTGATCTTTTGGGATGTGTCAGTTACCATGGTTCTACTGATATTCTCATAACACTTCTTATTCTATCACACCTAAACTCTGAGCATGGACATCTGCCTAGCTTACTGAGCAACGTTGATTTTTGTCATACCTTCACGACAATAAAAAATTTGCAGTAGATAATTACTGTGTAATAGTTAGTGTTCTTATACCCTATTGAAACATAAGTATGGTTATCTTGTGACTGAAAAGTATACAATATTTTACTATTATATTCTATAACTGTGGTAAAATGTGACAAAAAAAAATGCTAGGAAAAATTGTTAGGTGTTAGAATAACTACTAATCAATATGCCATAAAAATATAGGATGGCAATAATTAACGATAGTTTTGTTTTTTCCAGATGTTTTGTATACAAGAGACAGAACCACCACATGCCGATCCATTCGGTAACAATGATAAAGATCCTTTAGGCGCTACAAGCACACAGTCAGAGTCCAGTGATGAAGAACCTGAAGCAAAACGTCTTAAAACGACGTACACAAGCCCTTCTCTTAATCTTAAAGTCTACCAAATACCGGCTTTCAACCCACCGAAATCCCTCTCAATATACCCAACGACACCCACGTCAATTCTGCCTAAATTTGTTAATAACCCTCTTAACTTAGCCAATCCTTTAGCGTATGCCACAAGCAATCTTCATGCAAGTAACATGGTTAAGAGTCTCCATAGCAGGTATTCTCTGCCAGCAAAACTGACCATCACACCGGTGCAAAAACCTCCCACTGATGGTGAAATTATCAGGTATAAAAAGAATGGGGAAATAGCAAAGAAGAGAGGGCCTCCAAAAGGATATAAGAGGAAACCAAAAGTAGATCAACTCTCACAGAGTTTTACCAACGGAGCTTTACTACAGGTACTTATTGTTCCTATTTAAAATTAGTGGCTATGTACTAAATTTTTCAGTTTTTCACTTGTGGAACAGAGGTTCAGTTTGATTTCACAATGGGTCACTCCACAACTGATGCTGGTGCTTACCTGATGAAACATAATGTCATGCTTTGGGAGAATTCATGGGATGCTTTGGAAATTTTCTGTAGCAACCTGAAGTTAAGAAGTTAGTGGTGTTTCACACCATGTTGCCCTGTTGTGGTTGTCATGCGCCTGATTTCCCTCTGGACTTATCGGGTAACCATCCCATTGGACTATGTAAGGGAATAGAGGGGAACGCAAAAAATTTAGTCGATTTTTAATTGAACGCGAGTGGAGTCACAGGTAAAAGCTAGTAAATTATATACATAAACCCTCTTTGTGAATCAGTCCATTGATGAAAACTGAATGACAAATCCCACAGTAGTTACTGCGATTAGCACGAACATACATACAGACAGATGAGTCGGGGAGACTTATTTACTATTATATGGATAGAGGATATTAAATCAAATAAAAAACAAGTATAATAGTGCACACCAAACCTGATTTCTTTGTATTATACAGTATCAGGTCGGCTAGAAAAAATATCAATAATGAACAAGCATTGCTTACAAATTGCGTACAAAAATCTAAAATCAATTTATCAATTGAGAAAAAATCTCTTTACCTGACTGCACTACAGCAAAGTCAGGCAAAGCATAACATTTAGCAGTCATATCCTGGTGTGTAGTGGGGCTGAAACATCTAAATGACTGGTTGGAATTTTATCATTGAGATATCTATCGAATTGTCTATAGTTCTAAATCGTATGACGATTATAGGCTAGGTTTCGTCATTTAATTATTTTTTATGTAATCCAGTTTGTTTTTAATAATTTTGGTTATAATTCTGTTTTACTTTGTGTGTACATAAATTCTTAAATAAATAAATAAACAAAATTGCCAAAATACCTTCTATATTTTAGTAATATGTTACAGGCGCAAAATACGATACTGACAAGCTTACTCGCGGCAACAAACACCACGCTCGCTGGTGTAATGACACCACCAGCAACATTGCCACAGCCACAACCGGAAGTTATACCACAAGTTGTAATACCACCAGGTCAGTATACCAACAGTTGTCACCCCTTTGAACTGTTTCTCTTACCAACAGTGCCTGCACTGTTGTGCACCACTCGGAAGGATGTGGAAAGCAAGTTTGATTATGGGCTATGAGGCATCTCATCTTAATCTTCAGAATGCCAAGTCCTATGTAGCTTTTGTTGTTTGAAGATGGCTGCAGTTGACAATGGACTGCAGTAGATTTTTACCAGCAGGTGAACCGTCATTTGTTTTAACTTATTATAAGCCAAGGCTTCACTACACCTAGTGGTAAGTTGTGATGAAGTTCTAAATGGTAATTCGCACGGTTTTAGCATAACAAAAACCTATTCACTCTTGCCTAGGATGAATCGGATCGAATCGTACGGAAAGATAGACGCCGATAAATTATCCTGCCACTCCTTTGCTGTACCCAGTACCAAAGACAATATCGTCAACAAAGGGATGGAGACTGGCTGAGCATCTCGTAGAAAGGGAGGAATGGAAAGAAACAGTATCTTAAAAGTAGCTATTTCCAGCTTGAATCTTTTTTGCATAACAACATCCGATTGTAATTGCATCTTTACTATTTCCAGGTGTCGAAGTTGTAGAACTCCACTTGGACCCTGCAGATTGGTTCCCAGCGGAGCCCTACAAAATGGTGTTCAGCAGAAAGAAGAATCCGAAATGGAAGAACTTTCCCTACAGATGTGAACATTGCTTTAAGGTATGATGAACTTAGAATTATGTGGTAGCAGCGTATAGGAACGCATCACTTCATTTTGTCCTGTCGTTGTCCTAAGAGGCGACTATGGAATATGCCAAAAAGATCTTATGGCCTCCGCCATCTGCGATGATAACCATCTTGTTTACGCCAGACGGCGACGGGCAGCAGCGTCAAAAGTGCTCACGTCTGGCACTGTAATCTTCAATTCGCCTGTCGAGCTTGAAAATTATGGCTATTAAGACCATGTAGAAGTCCCGTAAAAGTCCACAATTTTTTTTTTCAAAGGTATACTAGTAACCCTTTTCATTACTAATATTCTCATTAACGACTCTGTGGTTCACCACAGTAGTCGAATGGCGTACTCAAATTCACGACTCTATATACACACTCGAGATGTTACAGACTTATAATATTTACGTAGGTATTTCGTAATAGTGAATGCTAATGCGGATGCAAATTTTTTGAGGCTCGCATCCACGGATGCCGATCCGGACGCAGATCTAAAGTTTTTATTGGAATATACAACATATACAAATGAAAGAGATGGTATATTTTATATTATTTTTTTATTTAATAATAAAAAAATAGTATGAGAATTTAAAACTTGATGCATTGTTGCGAAGATACCACATTTTTGAATGTGGTGTAGTGTGGCTCCGCATTAATTATTGCGGATGCGGAAATGGATACGGATGTTGAAATCTATGCAGAAGTGCCACATTGAAAAAGGAAAATCATACACATCCAAAATCGGGGATTTGATACGCACATACAGACATACATCTATAAACTGTAGCATCCAACTGTTAAAGATAACTGCTAGAGATGATGAAGAATCTCCTAGTTCTCATGTCTTGCATGGAAACAGTCTTAGCAGATGCGGCCCGCCGTTCGATATACTCGGAGCTTCAAGACTTTGTGCAGTTGGTCCTTTGCGAGTCCTTGCGGTCAAAAAAGGTCTATAGACCTGGAAACATGGGAGATACAATAACTCCATACTGTCTTTGTCTCACCAGGGTTACCGGGTTGCGTCAACGCTACTGACCCACGCGGCGGAGAGGCACGGCTCGGTGCCCAAAGACGTGGCGATCCCGTGTCCCTGCTGTCCGCACGTGTCCACTCGCCGCAAGCAACACAAGAAGCACCTGGAGACGCATGAGGGCAAACGCCACAGAATATTCTGCCTCTACTGTTTACCACCACGTGAGTTTATTTTTGATATTTTTTTCTGAGCCGAGGTAGATCAGGGGCTAAGTGTTTAGCGTACTTTCACAATACGTGAAGAGCTCCAGTTCAATCTCCACCAGCACCAGTAAAATAGAATACTTTTTATCTCTATGTATAAAAATCAATTGCTGTTTGTTAGTCTCGCTAAAACTCAAAAACGACTAAGACTTATTTTAGACTAGCTGGTCCCCGCGACTTCGACCGCGTGTTATTTGGGGTTTTAATTTTTTTGCGCGGAACCCTAATTCTTTTTCTAAAATAAAAGTAGCTAAAAGTTACTCCTTCTGACATCTGCTATGTGTCAGTGAAAATCCCGTTAAAATCGGTCCAGCCGTTTCGGAGATTAGCCGGAACAAACAGACAGACAGACGGACAGACAGACAGACAGACAGACAAAAACTTTAAAAATTGTATTTTTGTTATTAGTACCGTATATACTTTCATATGCAGTTTGTAAAAAGCCGTAATTTTGACATTACAAACAGACACTTCAATTTTATTTATTTGTATAGATTTATTAGATTAGATTTAGATGAACTTTTTTGTGTGTTTGAATTTTTTTATAGGATAAGGATATGTTACGAGCACACAGTCCACCTGATGGTAAGTGGTTGCTGTGGCCCATAGTCATATACATCTATCTTCGATTACGTAACAAAATGCTGATGCGTCGTCATCCGTGAGGACTAAGATGGAATGCCTCGTTTCCAGTAAAAGGGTCACAGGGTCTCCGGTTCTCTAAACTCATCATACGAAAAACTATAGCATTAAGCTGCTATTTTACGCTGGTATTCTGTGAGACCATTGTTCCCCGGTCTAGCCGACCCATTCGTGCTACAACTATACCAGTAATGTAGCTGCAGCATGGCTGTACCACGTAAAATGGCATTAGATGGTTTAGATTCTAACAGTGGTAGAGCCACGCGGCAGATTTTGCTGTCGCACGGATGGGCCGGCTCAAACCGGGGTGGTACCACGACCTCACAGAATACCGGCGTGAAGTAGAGGTCTACCTCTGCGTTTCGCTTGGTGAGTGTAGGTGGCCGGAGGCCCTTTTTACTGGAAATGAGGCATTCCATCTTAGTCCTCACGGGTGACAACGCATCTGCATTTTGATTCGCAAACGAGGATAGTTGTAGATCACCCATGCGAAGCCGGGGCGGATCGCTAGTTCAATATAAATTACTAGTAATTCGTATTGAAAGTTATTTTCTTTTACGTTTACCTCTGGTTCAGTAAAAACTTCTGTCCTGGGAAGAACCAGTAAGAAACCCAGTGGAACTTTTATTTGGTTGAATGTTGAATGAACTTATAATTGCAATTTTAAATACTGTGAATAAAATAATAGTGAAGAAACTTGCATGTTTGAGGAATTGTTATTCTCGTACATGCAACGAGTTCGATCCCCGACGGCGCCGATAGAATAGAATAAAATACTTTTTTGTCTATACAAATAAATAAAATTAAGTATCTGTTTGTAATGTCAAAATAACAGCTTTTTACTAAATGCATATGAAAGTACATACGGTACCCATAACAAAAACACACTTTAAAATTTTTATCTGTCTGTCTGTTTGTTCCGGCTAATCTCCGAAACGGCTGGACCGATTTCGACGAGACTTTCACTGTACGATAGCTGGTGTCATAAGGAGTAATTTAGGCTACTTATATATTAGAAAAATAATTAGGGTTCCGCGCAATATAATTAAAACCCTAAATTACACGCGGGCGAAGTCGCCGGGAACAGCTAGTTCAATATAAATTACTATTAATTGTTATTTACGTACTTCTCTCTACGACACTCAATAAGATTTGAGATATACAAAAAGTATTCTAGATACTATTAATATTTATTTTACATCTTTTGAAAATATTCTCCATCATGCTCTATACAAAGTTCCATTCGCCTAAACCAACTCTGAAAACACTTTTGCAAGTCTTGATCTGACAGGTCGGAAATCGCTTCTTCGTAGGCAGCCACGGCTTCTTCGGCGCTTGAAAAAAACTTGCCTTTTATTTTTTCTTTGACTCTTGGGAACAAAAAGAAATCACAAGGAGCTAAGTCAGGCCTGTAGGGTGGGTGACTTACAGTTTTAACACCAGATTCCTCAATAAATGCTTTTGTTCTAAGGGAGGTTTGTGAAGAGGCGTTATCGTGATGCAGCATGATTCCCCGAAGCCCGGTCTTTGGTCTTCTCTCCCGCACAGTATGAAAAGCTTTGGGTAATGCAACTGTAGTATACTATTCAGAGTTGATTGACCTACAATTTTCCACATTGACATCGACAAATGTCCGCTCTGCGAAAAAAAACTAGCCACCATTTTTTTGTCGACATTGCGAGGTCTTTGCAGTTTTGTCGGTAACTGTTGTTCTGAGTAGACCTATACCGATGATTGCCTTTTATTTTCCGGATTATATTGATAGATCCATGTCTCGTCACCAGGAACGATTTCTGAAACACGCCTAGATGCCCCGTTTTCAAAACGTAGACGCATTTCATGGCAGCAATCCACACGAGTCTGTTTTTTGCTTTTGGAGAGCAAACAAGGGATCCATCGACAACAAAGCTTCCTCACTCCAAGATGTTGATGTAGGACGGTATGAATGCTTCCTGAACTAATACCTACAATGTTTTCGATGTCCGTATATTATGTGATTCGTGAGTCTTCTCGCACCAACATTTCAGTAGTCCATACATTTTCTGCCGTTACTGCTGTTTGCGGGGCCCCGGTCCTTTGGTCATCTTTAAGATTAATTTTACCCCTTTTGAATTCAGCAAAACACCTAAAAATTGTTGCTCGTGATGGAGCTGAGCCCCTTGAGTGATTGTAACCATCATAAACTTAATTGTTCGGTTAAACCAAATTTAAAATCAAAATATATCATAGCACGCAAATGTTCACGGTTAAGATCCATCGAATGAAAAGCGCGGGAAGCGTTGGAGGAAAATTAATAGAATTTTGTTTTTTTTTTAAATATTGAGCAATGAGGGCTAATAATCTTCCACTCACCAGATGTCGCTAGTTGTGACTGAGGTAAAGTTTTTTGTTACACAGTTTCAGTTAATTAAGAAATTCGTTTTAAATAATGGTTTATCATTATCTAGAGTATTGTATTAAGGGGCTACTCCATGCGAACGACCTTGAGCATTTGGTGTGCCGCGCCGACTCGCTACAATATAATATCACGTAAGAAATATGTAAGGCGCCACCTACTGTAAGAACGTAGTATTTTTTCAACATCAATAAACTATTTTATGGAAATACACACAGCGTACAACGATAAATGTATCTCAAATTTTTTATTCGGTATATTAGTTGTTGTTTAGTTCGGTATATTAGTTCGGTATATTAGAGTTATGTATTCTCATATAATATTATCTAATTATGAAATTTTATAATTAATTATATATTAAAAATGAAGCATTGAAAATTGTGAGTTTAAAAGATACCTACTCACTATAGGTAAATAGATAGATAGCTCGCCTTTTGTACAAATATTTGGTGCAATAAAGAATAAATAAATAAATAGGATGTTTCGCAGAGTGAGAGTAATATAGAATGAGAGTCGTGGAGGCAGTTTACAAACATAAATTGCACAAGGACAAACATCCAGACCCGGAACAATTATTTGTAGGCCATACAAATACTTGTTCCGTGCGGGATTCGAACCCGCGGCCCGCAGTGCAGCAACTGATTGCTAAGCCAGTGCGCCACGGAGCCGTCGCCGGTTTATAGCTAAAGTGACCATACGTCCCGTTTTGAACGGGACTGTCCCTTTTCTCAGTCACCTGTCCCATTGTCCCCAAACAAAGCTCTGGAACACAAAATTGTCCCGTAACTCGTTGGATGGAAGTATTCAAAGTGAACAATCTTCAACATAATTTTTTTTAATCGAATATATTTTATGTCTCCCTGGTACAAATGCTCCAGTAGAAAGAATATTTTTTTTATTTTGAACAAATTGTGGACGTCTGAAAGAAACACTTACGGTTCCAGTTCTAAAGGCGATGTTGTTAACAAAGGTGACAATAAAAAAACTTAAGCAGAATTTTATTCTTATTTAAAATTATCACCAACTTTAATAAAGCAAATTTAATCCACTGACAAATGAAATTAATAATTAAAAAAAATATGTTGCATTTAATAATTACCGTCTATACCGAATATAATTTTATATTGAACACTAATTGTGTAAAGTTATAGTTTTTAGAGTGTAAATAAACCCATGTCCTGTTTTGAGTTAAAAAATAAATGGTCACTAGTTTTTTTTAGTTAAATTTAGTTTAAAAAAATTTTAGTTTATAGTAAAAAGTAGGTATATTAATACCTACTTAGATACTTTTTACCGAATTAGGGTAGAAGCCCCTAATACCAGTCATGCCCGTAATTGCAGTCTTTTCGCCTTTTTACTCCATAAATAAAATTTCTAGTAGTCTTAACTACAAATATTTTCATCTAAAAAATTCTTTGTACCTAGAGGAAACTATATTTATTCAAATATTACCTCGCAGTTTTAAACCTAACAGTGTTAAAATCAAAACAGGTACGCAACGAAAAACGATCATTTTCCTAATTATTTGACAAGTTATGATCCCGGTAAAATTATGCTTACTTTACATTATCTCATATATAGGCTTTTTGATTTGTACGAATATGACTATAGACATAGTAATGCAGTTATTTTTGTTTGAATTTACAACTTATTTATTTTCTTTTAGTGGAAATTAATGGGACTGTAATTAGATAATATAAGAAATGTATGGAGTGCATAATGTCAGCCGCCCGGCTGATATTTGGTTTGACGTACCTAATAATATGTACCTAATTTCAGCCACGTAATATAAATCACCGGAATAAATACCATTAATTAGATCATAACTTATTTTATAGCTAAGGGAGTTATGATCAATTCGTCTGTTTTAAAATTGGTTTTAGATTTTAAAGTTTAGCAAAAGATGTACTAGCTTTTCTCTCTGACATTCGGCGTATAGAACATCTTATGTACTCAATTATTTTTTTTTTTGAAAAAGAAGAAAAAACAAGCAATAAATAAAAACAAAAACGGGCCAAAAACTCATAACTTTCTGACTTTTTGACAAGACCCGGGATTCGAAACCGAGACCTCATGATCAGCACTCGCACTACTACAACCACTAGACCAACGAGGCGGTACTATACCTAATAAGATATTGTGGTTGGGTGATAATATTGAATTAGCCTTTTATAGTGTAAATTATAATATTTGTCGAAATTTTAATTATGGATTCGAACCTTACATGCTAATAGTGCTTCATTTTTTTATTTGCATTTACTTCAAAGAAAATACACGCAAAAAGCTTCATCGCGCAGTAAAAAACACAACAAATATATGTATAACTAATACGAAAAATTATACCCAAAACAAACAAATAATACTACCTATAAATAACCTAATAAGTAATATTATTATCGACTAATATGACGTGAGTGTATGTGCTGGTCGACGCTCTAACGACACGGGCTTCGCGTCGAAGAGCTCAGGGCTCACTGACTTCAGCAAGCCCGTGAGCAGTGAATATGCCCAGATTTTAAAATAAATTCTTAATAAAATCAAATTTTGGTCTTTTGAAAAAAAATTTACTATAGAAATGTTCATTAATAAATTGCCTATCCATTGGTGTAAATCGCAAAATAAAATAATACTTACTTTACGAGGAGATTCATGTTATCAATAATAATTTCACATTTATGTGGTTTCGTTGTAAGGAGATTATATTAATATTTATTCCTTTTAAAAAAAATTGGATATAGCTTTTATGGAGTCAAGATTATGTAGAAATATAATGTGTTTTTTATTTGTTGATATATCTTTTAAATAAAAAGTAGATAGCTCCTAAACACAGCACAAATAACGACTAGCGCGACATTTTGCTCAACCTGCGCCTTAATACACAACATAATGCGTCAGTTGTTTGATTTTTAATTTTTTGCACTTTATAACTCTTTTTTTTTTAAATCGGATTTTAGTTATATTTATAGTTTAGTTTATACATTTCTAATGTAATTAATATAAAAAATAACTAATAATACAGAAAGAAACCTTAAAGATTACATTTTCACTTTTTTAAGACAATATTTACCTCACTGTAAAGTGGCGCCGCCCTGGTGGCAGATAAAGTCGTGGATGCCCTCATTGGCTTATGGAGTTCTATTTTTAAATAAATTTACTTTTTAGAAACATATAACACGGGCGCGTTCTATTTTTAAATTTCGAGCATCTCAAAACTTATTGAGTGACCTACGTAAAGATTTTTTTTTAATTTTACTACTGCTTAGGAGAAAACTTTTGTCTAAGAAAAACCAGCAAGACACCCAGCAGGACTTTTATTGGTTGAATGTTGAATTAATAATTGCAATTTTAATTTTTATTTGAAGAAACTTGCATGTTTGAGGAATCGTCATTCTATTAAATTATTGTACAACTTCTTAAATTCTATTAACGTAGGTTTGGAGAAAATAATCGCTTTTTTTTTAATTTCAGCGAATGCCTCTGAACCGTATGTGAAAGAGTCTGAAAAGTACCCATTCGACAAGTTTCCTCAATTCTGGTACGCGTCGGAGGAGTCTTTACGTCTACACAAAAAGCGGAAACACCCCTACGCTGCCATGTTCAACTATAATTGGTTCTGTTCATGGGGCGACAGTATTCCTAATAGTTAATTCCTACCCTGGTATTTCGGTAGGTATTTCATATTAATGCTGACAGAAATCGCATTACAAATTAGTGACTTTAATTTTAGGTAGAATTTTTAAGCTTAAGCTTAAGCAGGCAGCACTGTTGAGATTGGAAATCATTACTTTTAGTGAAGGAAGGGATGTTTACTGACGGATATTAAATCAGGTTTTAGCCAGTACAAATAATTTTTGAATTTATCGTTTTCGAGTACTTTTCTTTTAAATATTTATGTAAGATTATGATTATGTTTACTTCAATAACGTACTTACAACAATGAACAATAGATATTATTTTTATATTTGACGTAAGCTAGTGTTGCTAGGTATTTAAAGTTTTAACTATTTCGTAGAAAATTGACATTAGTTTTGTATATATTTGTACTATGATATATCAGTAATGGTGAATTTTAATTAAGTAATTCCTGAATGCATCAATAATCGAATCGTGCCTTGTTTGCTATGTTTCGAACATTATTTTTTATAGTAACATTCCATATTTAAAAATTCGATAACAACCACCGAATTAAAATATTCTAATTGTTACCATTTAATAATGTGAGAGCAATAATGCATAATAAAATTAAGTGATATGATATAAAATTAATATTATATTGATTCCATGTAAAATTGAAATTAACTAAAAGAATTACACAAGTGCAATTAATTTTTAATTCGGATGGTGAATAAAATTAGCGAGAATAACATACAGATTTGACTAAATTTAACAGATAATAAGTGATTAGTCAGTTCAGGCAATGGTTAATTTGTTTCATTTATTTTTATTATCAAAGACAATGGAGTAGACTCAACCACTATTTCGATACTTGCATGGAACAAGTGTTTGTAAAGAGAAATTTATCCATGTAAACGCCTAAATTATTTCAGAAAATTGTCAAGCCTCATAATGTGAAGTCAAAAATGTCAAAACATATAATGGTTGTATGATCAATAGGCCTTTGTCTATTCAAAAGTATAAAATAATAATAGATATAATAAACCATAGATTTAGTGTATACTTCGTTAGATTGGCAATGTAAAAGAGAAAGGGCATAGCATATGCTTACGTTAGAACAAGATAGAATGGCCAGACCATACACATACACGCTATAGGTCTATATCGGACTGACGTCAATCGTTAACGAAACAAATCCCGCTTATTTCCGCGATATATTTGATTTTAAAATATTAATAGTGTTTAAAAGGTGTGATTAAAAATGGTGACGTGTGCAGTACCTGAACGCAGTTCATCGAGAAAAGAAAAACCACAAAATTATATATTTCACACGTAAGTACAATTAAAATGCAATATTGCACTCTAAATGCAATATTTTAGAACTGGTACAAATATTTTATACACAAATGGATAGGAAAAAATATCGCATTTAAGTATGATAATGCTCTAAATGCGTATAAATTATATTAAATATAATAACAAATACGTGAATTTCCGCTATTTCTGATTTAATTTTTGTAGGGATTGATACTATCACTATCATCTTCTTATCGACAATATGTTTATAACAGGCAAACGCATATCTTTGGATGCAACCTCTTGTAACTTCGTAATTTTTTTAATTTTCTTACTTTAATTTTAAGGTTTTCGTAGCCAAATGGCATTATAGTAAATACTTTCATGAGATTATTTAAACTCTTATAATGTTTCAGATTTCCCAAAAATATTGAGGTTAAACAAAAATTGTTAAAAATGATAAATATTCCCAAAAAATATTCAACTACATGTAGCAAGCACTTTGAAGAAAAATGTTTTTCTCATAGAAGTGCACAAAGAGTAAAGCTGCGTTCTTGTTCAATACCTACATTATTTATGTTCCTTATTATATATTTTATGATACATATGTTCATTTCGTTTGCGCATGTTCAAGTTTTTATAAAACTAAAGTAACAAAGGAACTTGCGGTATCACTTGATGGTAAACGGCTTCTGCAGTACATTATTTACAGTCAGCTTCAAACAAAGAAACCTATAAATGTGTTTTCACCCCTGAGGACTAAAATAAAATGCCTTACAGTTTATAATTATACAGGCTATCTATACACAACAGGCCGGAACGCGACAGTGTAAGCACTGTTGCTTATTTCTATTTATCCCTCTCAAGACTTTTATGAGATAGGTATTCATTCTGAACGAGTTTTCCGAAAACATGAAAGGAAAAATTGTAAACGAATATATGTTTCGAATATTAGTAAACGAATGCCTTGTCCTGCAAAAAAATGCTTAACATACTTGACATACACATTTATGAGTCGCCAGCAATATCAAACCATAAACAATTATTAAATTAATAATCGAAACTTATTTGATTATTCGTTCGAAGTATGAAGCAAAATCACAAAATACCTCTAAGCAGAGCTTACCACATTTTTACAATAAATTAATTTTATTTTGGTGGAAAATAAAAATCACGAACTTTTTGTTTGTAGTTTTATTTTAAGCCCTCTAACAAAAATTATTATTATTAATAATTTTATTCCTTTTATGACACGGACACAGCGCTCTGTATCGATAATTGAAGTTGACGCATGACGCAGCACTATTCGTCTCGCACACATGCACATTTCACTCACACCCGTACGTTTCGTTTTTGGTTTCACCCTGATTTCTCCATCGCCAATCTAATGTATACTATATCTATGTAATAAAATAACTTATTATTCGCGCCAGTTTTACCGTTGGTTTGATATATAATCGTCGGTAATTGTTTCATGTACGTCAATTTGTATGTTATTACAGTCGCTTAACGTTACAAGGCTAATATAACAATATACTATATAGTTTTATATGCCATTTTAGCTGTGTAGCTACGAGATTAGATTAGGCGTAAGTGTACATATATAGTTTAGTTTTAGAGACCAATCGTACAAAAACGAGTATACCAGTATTTTTATATGAATTTTAAAATGCATTTACTAGGGTATTTGAATGTAAAAGATACAATAGACCAAATCGATACAGTATTAATGTTTTAGCGGTAAATATGTGTAAGTTTACTGAATAGTTTCCGACATTAATATTTATTAGTGTTGCATACACCACACAAATAAGTTTATAGATGTCTTCTAATACTCACTTAATATGGTGGCCACCCATCCTGAAGTAAAAAATGAATTTTCAAAGGCTATCACTACTGCAGTATGTTAAAAAACCCTGCCCGATCCATGAGGGAGCATTTAGGTATCGTGATATGATCCTGTTCATATATCCTTTTCAGAGATTAATAAAAATATTCCCCCATACATTAAAATTAAATTAAATGTGGATTTGTATCGCAGTACATGGGGTGCGGATAGCCATTGATTATATATATATAAATTGTAAAACAAAAAAAATAACAATTACGTTTTTATATTGTTTTTATAATATGTTTTAGTTTTTGGGTCAGATAGGGTGTTTTTACATATTGTATATATTATTTTATATATTTGATATGAATTTTACAAAAGCGGGTAGATTCACATGTTTGTAAGACTATGGCAGCTTCTAGTATTATGACGAAAAATTTGTCGCCTCTGTTTAGCCAAGTTTATTAAATATTAAAGAACCACTATTTAAGTTATATCAATGTGTGATTTCAAAACATAATTATAAATCATATTGGTTTTTCAATCAGAATCATATCCTAATTAAAAAAAAAATAACTGGTAATAGAAAAAAAAGTTTTTGTTGAAATCTATTTTCTGTAGTCTCAGAAATAATAATGGCGTTATAAAAATACTTAACAAAAATTATAATAAATCAGTATTGATCATATTTATTATAATAAAAATATTCAAAAAAAATTGTATCAAAGTAAATATTGACGAAATGAATTCTTCATAATTCATAATCTTTATTGCAATCAACTGGTAACAATAGATGTGTTTTAAAAAATGTTCTTATGCTTGATAAAGCTACAATGAAGCTATATTATGATTGTAGCATGAATGGATTGGCTCAAACAGAAAAAGACCTCGTTCTTACAGAATACCAGCTTGAAATAGCAGCTTAATGATTCTGTGTTTCGTATGGTGAGTTTCGCTTCAACTTCATTAGTATTTGCTCGTTGTTAGTGTTACTGTATGTATGTCACAAACGTTCTGCTCAGATAATTGATATTATAATACTTTCACTGCCTAAATTTTTAACAGTATAAAGGCAGACCAACAAAGAAAGAAAAGCGGAGCGCTGCGTACATTTCAAGTGACGCAAAAACCAAGCCAAAACCGTGCTCAACTTTAAGAACACGCACTTGAGTGTTGAAATCGTTTACAACCAACAAACTTTTGGTTTTGAGTTTGGTTTGGTTTTAAGTTCAACAGTGAACTTTAGTAACTTAGAAAGAAGTAATATGTGTGCGTGTCAAGATGATCATGATTTCTGCATCACTTGCGATGTACCCAGCACTCCGTCTATCTGATTTTTTGATTGTAAATATAAAATTTATTAATAACTCCACTACACAGTCTCGCGTGTAACGGGTCCAGATTTTGGTCCATAAATATAGAATATGTACCAAAATGTATGAACTTAAATAACTTGACTACAACGTCACCTATTATAGCATAGTTATGAACCATCCTCTCGTGTACTTGTCATGTTTTGCATGATGTACTAGAAGAAGGCCCAACATTTTATTACTGAACGGTTGGAAGACAAAAAAAAAACGACAACAGCACATCAATGCTTAATGTGTGATCGATTAATACAACATTTATAAACATACCACGAAATTGATACGAATTCGATACTCAAAAATAAATATGTGCGCGATTAAAAAATTTAAGATAGATATGGATATTTTTATGAGAAAATTTCGATATATCGATATTTTATACCAAGCCTAACCTGCATGTCTGAGCAATAAAATAATTGTAAATATTTTATTTTATTTATACGTAAGTTTTGCGTTGTTTTTCAAATACAATCGATCAAGTAAATCAACATAATATATAGAATTTGAAAATCGACTTTTTGCAAGTAATATCATA